GAGGGGCTTCTTAAGGTCCAAACGGTAAATCGGGAGCCGAAAGCATTAAATCGTTAACGGTAAAGAATAGACTTTAGAGGCTGATCACCAACCAGCAACAGGAAGGATAAGCCTTTAACCATAGAGCTTGCAAACTAAATCATGCACCCCAAGCACTCCACCTTGGAAATCGAGTAATACAACACATATCAGAACCTTAAAAACTAATAAACAGGCAATACAAGATGGCGCCAGAAATTAAGACATATACCAAATACCCGTGATGCCTAAGGCAAAAACCTTCGGTGGGATACCCTGAAGAATAATAAGAAGAAATACACAACAGCATCTTGCAACATGAGGCATAGCAGATACAACTGAGCAATGCACAGTACAAATATACTATAGAGCGTAGACATAAGACGTGAACCGACAACCGTAAATTTCCTCAGAAAGAATAAACGCTAAAAGTATCCGCTCAAAGGTACACAGTAACCATGGATCACCAACCATGAAATTTGAGGCGTATACCGTCAAGATACGACACGGGATCCTAAGCCTAAGGCGGTAGGAAACAGGAGTAGACCGCCGGAATAAGGCAGCACATGTAAAGAATTAACCGTAGCAATAAAAAGTAGAGGGTACCAGTATACCCTAAACAACAAAACTCACCGAGAAACCGTGGAGGCTAAGGCATGTAATATGGCACTGAAACCCCAAAAAATACGAAACAAACACTAGACCCTAGATCGTAAACCCCTGAAAATGGTCACAGGGCACCTAACGCCTAATTAGTGACCCTTAGGCGTCTACAGTTACTTATCGTACGATACAGGTGAACACTAAAGGAGAGAAACAAATACCCGACAGTAGACTTAAACAAGCCAGTGTACACGTAAAGGATAAACCATGACACGTAATCACAGGAATAACACCATGAACATAAGAGACGAAGCATGAATCCTAAACATTAAAAAGAAAAGAGTGCGAAGTACACCATGGTACCAACCAGAACAAAAATGAGCAACAACAGCCCTACCCTGAATGGAACCCACGTGAAGCAGGTGGTTACACAATGCAACATCAATCCGTACAGTACCTACCTGAGCAGACGCCAATGCAGGTAAACACTCTGAAGCCAACTGTACTCTTTAGAACTATTCCATAGACTATGAGACATACGACGGACAGCAGGCCGGCCAAACCCGAGAGAAAACGGATAGAACACGGACAGAAGCAGTACCAGGAGGAACCTAAAGCGTAAGAGACCAAAACAGGGGCAAAATTGACCAGAGATGCAATCCACAAAATATGATGATAAAGACGGGACGGACCTGACAAAATACAGCAACACCGTAAAACTCACGCCTCCCCGCCTAAGCGATGGATGTGCATATAAGTGCATGAAGCACACTTCATCATCACTAAACCATAAAACATACACCCAACCCCATGAACGTTAAAGACTACGAATTAACAAAACAGACCAAAGGCTTAAAGTCCAAACCAATAATCCTAGAGCGGAAAGTTTAACATTGTAGCCTACAGGATACACCCTAGAGGATGAAGAATAACAAGTGAAACCTAAAATGGAGAACAATGGCCAAGAACCCTACCCAGCGAAACATAAGCCATCATGTCATAAAGAATAAACTTTGAACTGAAATCACGAAGTATCAGCCATAGAGATAACAACTAAATGTGCAGTATAAACAAGAAAGCTAAACATTACACCATGAAGGATGAAGTCTTAGCAGTGGGGCCAGGGACCCAAAATATGAGCAATACAAAATAGCACGTGAATACCCAAATCCAGAAACTTCTACCTAGAACATAACAGGTAAACTATAAAGGAACAAGTGTGAAAAACTATCACTGAAGTATAGACCATAATCACAAAACTTCCCCCAATGAGCCAAAAGGAACGAGCCTAAACCTAACACGGCCCCGACGCCCGGAAAAATACCCGCGACCGAAGTAAATCACTACAGGACACCCCAGAGGTAAACCAACAAAACGGCCACTAATCAGCGCCAAATAGAGCATGAACCATGAGACATGGAGTCCTGAGTACCAAAATGTACAGAGTAGAATTAGGACCCTAAGAATCAAAATTAAATAGGACCGACTAGGTCCTAAGCCCTAAATCTTATACTATAAGATCGAAATCTAAAGCCTAAAGCGTAGAGTTAAGAGTCTAGAAACTAGAAAGGGGCTCCCTCCTTAATGATGCAGATGTTACCTGGGGATTCTTAGACGGGTGCTCATCAATAAAACCCAAAACTGACAGGAAATACAAACAGACGGAATGACTCAAACAACCGAAGTAGCAATCGGCACGTCTAAGTTTAAGAAGAAAACGGAAAGCCATAAATCCCGGAACCTAAGGACCCATCTAGGTCTCATATCTGTGATCTGGCGCCTAAGAGTTTTGACCCAGATTAAATCAGACAACAAAAGAAGTGAACCCCAAGCCTGAATACTAAACACTAAGAATAACCCCTCTTCCCTCAAGAGTGAGAATTAGACGATAACAAACAATCCCTAAAATATAACCCAATAAGCTGAGGACTGAATCCTAAATCATTAAGGGTAAAAGTAAGATCCCAAAAGCTGAGGACAAATCAGTACAGCAAAGGACTGATCAATATAAAGTAGGCGTAAAAACATGAACAGTAACCTACAGAAACGAAATCCTAATTCCTAAGGGGTAAAAACTAGAGACTAAAATTGGACGAAGAAACCCTAAATCATAACAACTAAAGGACTCAGGATTAGAGAATAAACACTGAACTCAAGAAACGGACCCATACCTCCGAAAGACCGGGACCTGAATCCTAACACATAATCCATAACCCTCAAGCGTAAAGCTAGGATGGTAAACATTGAGTCTTAGAAATGAACCGTGAAGCGTGACCACTGAATCATAAGAGATGAAACGTTAATGCGACGCACAGGAACTGACAACTGAACCACGATGAATGAGAACATGAACTCTAAACCATAACCGTGAGAACTAAATCGAACCAATATAAGACTATCCCTCAAGCCACAACGCAAAACCATGAGAAAAGATGCCTAAACTCTAACCCCTATCACCTTGACAATACACGCCCATCTGTAATTCCCTAGACCCTACACCATAACCACTAAAGTCACCCCATAAGCCAAATCCCCTAAAAACCAAAAGATACGCCCTGGGAACCTAAACGTAGACCCTGAAGAATGGACAATAAACCCTGAACCCTAAATCTAAACCCTAAACCGTAAAACTTAGACCGTGAACCCTAGTCCATGAACAATAAACCTGAACATGAAAACTAGAACCCTAAAGCTCTAAATCTAAAGCTGAGGACTCAACCCTAAACGGTAAACCCTAAACCTGAACCATAGACCCTGACCACTAAACCTTCAACCCTGGTCAATAGACGGTAAACACCTGAACCCTAAGACCTAGTGCTTGAACACTGGACACTGAACCCTAAACCAAAACCTAATCCCTGGAAACCTGAACGCTGAACCCTAAACACTAGACCCTAAAACCTGAGCCCCAAAACCTGAAACCTAAACCGTTAACCCTAAACCCTAACCCTGAACATGAACCATAAATCCGGAACCTTGAATGTAAAAGGGCCCTCATGAACCCTAAAACCCAAACATAAACCGGGAACACTTAACCCTGAGAATCCCAAGCCTAAACCGTGAAACCCGACCCCTAAAACTAAACCCTCAACCCTGGACCATAAACGTAAACCCTAAACCATGAACCCTGAACCCTAAACCCTGAAACCCTAAACCCTGAACCCCCAATCCCATACCTTAGACTCTAGAGGCTACTGGATTAAGACTCAACCTTGAACCCTAAACAATGAACCTAAAACCTAAACCCTCAATCCTTAACCATGAATCCTAAACCCCGAACCCGGAACCCCGGAACCCCAATCCCGAACAACGGAACCCTATACCCCCAATCCTAAGACTCATACCCTTCAACATGAGCGACCACTCCATAACCCCCACCCGCATAGCCCCCCCGATTTCTCCGCCGTCCCCCGGTTCCGTGAGGTGGTTTTCCTTATTCACCTTAACGCCCTGCCGTCTGATCCTCCGGGGATCCCTTAAGATTGCTCTTTGGTCGTCCCTTTACTATTCCAGTTGGTCGGGGGCTGCTGATGAGTTCTATACTGGCCTCGGTTGACTAGGTTCTCTGGTGTCTGGGGTTAGGTAAGGCTCATGTTGTAATTTTTTGTGAGTTTCATTCGGTTAATCGGTACCTACTATACTTAGGCCTTTAGAATGTTCCGTGTTTTTTGTTGAACCCCCTACTTCACTCGGTGCATCTCTGGGCCTGCGCGATTCTGCTCCTGCGGCATCCCTCCCCTTGGACGGTTTTGCTCGGTGTTGGTTTTGGCTCTTATGTCTGTTGTTGTTCGGGAGTCTTTTGGCTCCTCAGGATTGTAATCCTCGGGATTTTGTGTGCGGTGTTCAAGGTTTCCTTATTTCATGTTGGATTTTTGTGCCCTTCTCCTCTGGTGTTGGGTTATTGATTTAGTGAAATCTTCTCAAATTGTACGGGCCTACATGCTCCTGCCTCTCCACCCAACGTTCACGCAATCTAGGATGAATGTTCATTAGCTGTCTTCTGCGTAGTCCTCCCGTTCGATGGCTAGACTTCATGACCCTATATAAACCTAGGATGGCACTCACTGCCATTGTTCCCACCCCAAGGCCCCCTAAGATGCCCGTTAATGGTGAACCCCCTGTCATTTGTTGTCCTGATCTGCTCATTAAGCTCTCGTACGTCCGCAAGTCGTGGGTTTCTTTTCCTTCTGTTTGTATATATTCCTTTTTTGCCTGATTGAAGTCCTGCTCATTTTAGAGAGAATTGGTCCATCATGTGTTTAGGTGAATATACTCATGGTACCTGATTTTATCGAGCTCAGGGCAGCCAAATATACGCCGGTCTCTTTTCAATGCTCCTTGGATGGTGTTGCCCCTGTTGCAGTTCCTATTCACTCGAACTATTCGCCCTTGAGCTTCGTCCTTCTTATATCTGAAGGAGCTTCTCCCTCTGGGTGAGTGCACATGAAGAGGTGGAGCTTCCTGTTCTTGTACCGGTCAACTCCTCGTCTGCTTCTTACCTTTCTTTGTTCTTGGGTTCCTTCCTCGTCATTTATTTGTTCGCAATTGTTTTCGTTCCTTCTTCTCACGCATGAGGTAGACCACTTGGCGTCTGGTCTGTCCTCTTTCATACACTGCATGCCGATTACGAAACTCTTTGCCTGTTCGAAAAATTCCATCCAGAGCTCTGACCTGTTGTCTGTCTTCCCTTTGATGGGGATTCCCCACCCGTCCATGTCTTGGCTCGGTCTGTTATTAAACCATTCTTGCATTATATGTTCGGCCGTGTCCTTGTCGCTCCATCCTTCCAGCTCCTCATATATGATCTCGCAGGCATCCCTGCTGTTTATTTCCCATGTACTTGCTCCCTTTCTGATATTTTGGTACATAATTAATATGATACTTATCAGATCCATACATACAGCCAGTTCTCTGTCGTAGGCGTGATTACTCATTAGTGGTTTATCAGAGGTGAGGTGGGACCATTGCATCTGTCCTTTCTCTTTCAGGCACTCCTTCTTCGTTATACCACTGAAGAGAAATCCGACGTCCCCTTTTTTGCACGTGGATTGGTCTGCATCCCACTTTTGTCTGCCTGATTGTTCCAAATGTCGCATCCAAACCTCCATCGCCTGGCATGTAAGTCTGGATCTGAGACTTAGATCCGTTAAGGTTATCAGATCTCCCTGGGTCAGATTATCCCATCTTGTCGTCTTGATTTCCTTTGCTCCGGTGGTGTCCTTCGGCTCTATCGTGCTCAAACTCAGGCCGGTTAGTGGTCCGTGTGTTTCGGATCTCTGACGCTGCCTGTCCCAAATCCTGTCCTTTATCCACCCCGGGAAGTTCATTTTTGTTTTCCTTGGATCAGAATTCAATTCCTCCTCGTTCCTATACTGAACCTGACTTAAGTGCTCCGCCCGTGCCTGTTGTTGTTGGTTATAGAGACTGCTCCCTTCTGTGAGGTTGGTCTTCTTGTAATTGCTTCAGGTTTTAATTCTTTGTATTTTTCTTTGCCTCCGGCGGGTCATGGGCCTGGCGTTTCGATGTTTTTTAGATTCTCCTTCGGGGACTCCGGCTTTCTCCTGAATCCTGGGCGCATATACTTCGAAAACCTCCTCCCACAGTACCCCGTCCTATTTCTGCCCTCCTATCTATCCCCCGCCTACCCCCCGTTCATCAGATTCCCCCCCCGATTATGGATGACTCGCCTTTCCTGCTAGTCTCTCTTGTCTCCAGTCCTAAGATTGCGTCAGGGGAATTCCTGAGTCGGTTGGTTCAGGTGACTTTGGGGTCCTGTTTGGTGGCTCTGTTCCGTTAACTCTTCACTCTTCACTTTTGAGATCCCCCCCCGAATATGGTTCGAGATTCTTATACCCCCCTTAGCACTTCTTCCTTGCTTCTGCACAGACTCAGGGCTCCCTGAATCTGGCCTCCTTTATCTATTGGGTGCTTGTCAGTCTCGTTTTGATTATTTCTGGAGATATATATTCTGCTTGTGATTTGTGCTTGTGTCTTCCTGATCCTTACCATTACAGAGAGTCGGCCTTGGCTGGTATTCTCCACGATTTCACCGGACCGGATCTTCGTCCTTGCTGCCCAGATGTGGGGTTGTTTTTATATTCGTTTATATTTGAGCTCCTAACTTATACTACTACCACAGACTCAAACCCGTCATGAGTCCTTTCATATCTTCATCCAGGGGAGTTCTGGTCATCCTCAGAGGACTCCTGTGAAAAGATCCTGTTGTCCCTCTTCCGTGGCCCTTGTGTGAGATGTCCTTCCTGACATTTGTCCTCCTTCTTATCCCTCTTGTTTTCCGGTGGCTGAATTGTTTGGAATACTCCTATTCTATTCCGAAGGTTTCGGCACGGGGGTTCCTATCTTAGGCTTGGCTCATACCCTCCCCATCTTCGGTTTGGAGTTGTTCTCTTTGGGGATATACTTGTTCTGATCACATTCTATCGGTGGCCAATCCATCTGTTCCTGTTTCATTTGTCTTGAGATTAGTGTTTTGTTGTTCGTCCCTTCAACCTCAACTCCTAATATCGTAATACCTGCACTAGTTCCTGTCGAGTTTGGGACGTGTCCCTGTTGCGTGTTTGGGGGCCTCCAACCCTATGACGCTCCGGCCCGACAGCCTTCTTACGTGTGAGATTCCCTTTTTCAGTTTCCTCTTGTGGCTTACCCTGGCTTTCTGTCCTTCGCTGTCCTCCCGCACCCTTCTGTTTCTCCCGCCAGTGGCCTGGTGAGGGGCATGGGTTTCCTTAGTTGGTCCGGTTTTTCTGCCCCTCCGGGGTACTTCTGGAAGTCCCTCACTCTCGCGGGGGGGTTCATAAGTTCCTAACATGGATTAGGCCAGCTCCTGATTCATCCGGCCTGAACTCGACGTTCTTGTTCTGCTGTATCTTTGTGGTGCCGCTGTGATCTGGAGCTATATGCTGCTTCTCCATGGGTCGGTAAGTCCTGCACTGGTTCCCTCATCCTGTATTTCGACCGCTCCTTATTGTGATTATCCGTTTGGAGTCCCCTCTGAGGCTCCACTTTTTGCTGTATCTTCTCTCGTTCTTTTCTGAAACTACCCATAGGATGCCTGTTCCTACGGTCTTTGTAACTATTTCCGCTCTTTTCTACTTATGCCTTTCTGGATCCTTGGAGCTCTCCTGGACATTGTGTTGTTGTCTAGCTTCTCCTTCTTCTCTCTCTCAATTCAGACATGCCTACGCGGTTTTACTCCTTGCACTTTATGTCGACGCTATTGTTGTTAGTGAGACTACCTCCTCGAAAATTCTGCCTGCAGGACACCCCTTCACGCATCTACTCACCATCTTGCTTCCTTTATTGGGGGCTCTTATGCTTTAATCTAGATGGGAATTCCCAGTTAGAACTGCGCTAAGAGCATCCCGTGTGTTTCAGCATTTGGGGTTCCTTCGCTGGATTTTAAAGCTATGAGAGATATGTGCCGTTCAGGGTGGGGACTTACCAGATAAGCCCTAGATCTGAAGCCCGAGATCTCTAGACCTCTTGTGGTGCGTGAATACTTATACTTTACTGCTTCGCTTCTATTCCCCCTGATTGAGCCTTATACCGGAATCTTCTTTACCTGTCCCTGTTCGCTTCGATGTTTTCACCCTTTGCTACTGAGTTCACTTCTTCTATGTTCTCGGCGTCCACTGAGACTTTGAGAGATTGCACTCTCCTGGTTCTGGGCCCCTTGGTTTTGCTTTTCTTTTGGGGCTCTTTTGTCCGGCTCTTTTTGCTCCCAACCTTCTGGACTTAACTTCGGTCTTCTACGCCCCTGATCCTTAGGGAGGGGCCCCCGTTTGCCTTCTCTGTTTACTTCTTGATTTGGCCCCCTGGTTTGGAGGTTTTGCTCTGAGATAGTTCTGAATGTTGGGATGCTGTGTTGAGGGCTCGGTCGGTTGGTAAGTCTTCTGAGCCTCTTGGGGGGATTGGGTGATTTCTAGTTCCTTTCAGCTGTGTGGATACTGGCGTATGGGGATGATTGCCGGTGTCTGTCGTTCTTCTGGGAGTCAGCTCGCTCATTCGTTGCCTTATGAGGTTTCATGAAGATCCGCTCTGGGACGTTTCTGGAGGCGGGAGTATCCTTCAGTTTCCTGGTTGCCTTCATGATGATTTGGTCTCATACTACGGGACTTGCTATCGCTTTTACTTTTGTCAGAGGTTTCATTTTATTCTTCTGGATGAGTATCTGGATGTTTGTTCTGAACACCAGTCTTTGTGACGGAAGTGCTTGTTTTTTCTGATCGGTTAATCGTTACACGCCCGTGATCTTTCAGTCAAAACTCCCCGTTTTGGGGTTTTTCGTGCCTTTCCTCTCCTATTCTCGCTTTATTCGAGCTTGAGTCGTCACCTGGGGTTAGGTCAGCTGATGATCTGGAGATACCGACATTGAACTAGTTCAGTTACATTTATATCCTGGTCAGTTTGCTTCCTTACCTCTCCATTTCGGGGAGAGGTCCCGTCGCTTTGTCCAGAGATCCTGGTTTTGGATGTTTTAGTCGGATTCTATTTTATTCTTCTCCTGCTCTTAGATCTGCTTGCTTTCTTACCTCCTGGAGTCGGTGGGAGTTGGGTTTGGATTGAACTGTTGTATCCGAGTTCCTAAACTCTAGTTCAGGGGATTTCCTCTATAGCCTTCCGTTGGTTTTCTCATTGGATAATTGTTGGTCATTAATCAGGTGGCTTGGATTCCTTCGGATTTTACGAGAGTTTGGGACTAGGGCCTGATATCAATCTTTATTCATCCTAGCTCTGGCTAGTTTTTCTGTTAAGGGTGAAGTTCTTACGCCCTAGTTGGGGAGCTCAGACCCTTTTGTAGGAGTAATCCCCTCTATGATTAGGAATTATTCTTCCGTATGGCTTGGAGGAGGGTCTGGGGGTGTTATTTTAGGTTTCCTCTTAACCTTTCTTGATGAGATATATCTATCTTTCTTACCCTCTCCCTGTTGGATGCTGTTTTTCTTACTTCGGGATAGGATTGACTCTACTTCTAGACCTTATTCAATCACTAGTTACTTCTCTTGATTGCTCGTAGGTCTCTTAGCTATCCCTTCTGGGGATTTTTCTTTCTCTGAGTTCCGGCTTTCTCATCAGACTCTGACATGTGTTTCTCGGGATGGCTATTCCTGATTCTTCCCTCGTGTTGGTGATTCCTCATCTTCCCTGCATCAGGTTTCTGGTGGTACCGTTTGGTTGTGGCCCTTTCTTCTCAGACATCAGAGTTGTCCTTTCACTTTTCTCTTATGAAGAAGGAGGTAATTACCACTTCTGTTATAATGGTTTTGCTGTTCTCTTAGACTCATTCTCTGTAGTTGACCTCTTTCAGTGTTGATGTTTTACTCCTACCTGAGAGTTGGATTCTTCCTGTTTTTGGTCATGAACTTTTGCTTCCGTTGGTTTGGTGACTAATATGGGGTGGGCTCCTTCTGTTTCCTCTTGGTCTGGAGATTCCTAGACGTTGTCTCCTATACTTTTGGTTCTTTGCTTCTTGGGGGTTGGTCTGAGATGATTTTGTCCTATTTTATCTTTTAGTTCGTAATCCCTCTTTTTGGTTGTTCTTTGATAGGAGTTAGTATTGTTTCGCCTTCAGGGTCCTGGGGTTCTATTGATGGTGAATTCGGAGGTACTGTTGTATCTACTCATCCGTACTTTTCCTGCGTCATTCCTACCATTCGATCAGTTTGGTGTATTGGGGGGAGTCTCGGAAAATATTCCGCCCGATTTATGCTAATTCCCTTATTTCTTGACGTTTGGCTTCCTGAGGCTTGATATGTTGGTTCTTTAGCTAGCTGAATAATCCTTCTTGTTATAAGATTACACCTGCTCTTAAGGGTTTGGTGTGTAGTGCCGTTTGAGGGATGTCTGTCGTCTACTTAGCTCATATCTGGCTGTTAATTAGTTGTGCCTGGTTTTAAGATTTCGATTTTTCTATATTTGGCCTAACTACTAATTCGGGCTCTGAAGTCATCCTCTTGGCTGTATTATCGTTTTCGATTCTGATAGTTGAATCTTCTTTTTCTAAGGGTTTCCGCTGGTATGACCCGGCTCCTTCGATTCTTGTTCGTATTCTGTAGTTGCTTTGCCTAACTCATCTTTTCCGCTATTTAGATACCCTCTCTGATGTATCCCCCTGAAGTTTTCAGGGATTGGTTTTTGTTGGCCTTTGGGGTTCGGTCCTTTGTCGGTATCTGTGGATTTATTGGGTTGGGTGCCGCTTGTTTCTTTTTCGGGGGCCCACGATTTCCGGGGTCGGTTTGGTTCTGCCGTTTGGAGAGAGTTACTCGTAGAGCTGAAGTAGTCCGAGAACCTGTGTGTGGGATTCGGCTTCTACATCTATCCGTAGGTTTCAGGTTGTCTTGAATATGGGCTGAATATGTACTTTAGTGCCTGATAGCCTGACTTCGGGAATCTGCCTCTTAGGTAGTCCGGTGGTTGATGGGTTTTTGTTCTCAACTATCCCATCCCCTCATAAGGAATTCCTCCTTCTAGATTCAGAGAGTTTTGTCTGGATATCTCACCCCTTATCTCTCGGGGGCATGTGCCTTTACGTCGGACTTTTCGTGTGGTTCGGGGGCTGGTGTGCTGTGTTATTTTTGGGTACCAAAAAATCTCTGTTGATCTTTTCTTTTTATTTTGGGGAATTGTTTTTTGGAATTACCTACTCCTCCAGGAAGACTTTTTCTTGGTCTTCCTGTTAATTTGGCATGGTGACTCCTTGGACTGAGTTACTTCATTCTTCGACTTTGATCTAGACTAATTTTTCGTTAGACCTGGAATCCTTGATTGGACAGTTTTTTCTTTGACGGTTCGATGAACATTTTTCGCCGCTTCTACTCAGGCGGGATTAGTCCTGGTTTCCCCTGGATTCTAGGATGTCACAAACGAGATTCTTGGATAGAGGGTTGCTTCTTAGTTCTCCGTTTAGTTGGCCTGATCAGAAATGCATTTTGGTTTTCCCCTGGGGTTCGTTCGTCCTGAAGTTGGCAGCTTCGGATATTAGATGTGGATTTCTTTTTTCCTTACTCCAACGCTCAGGTGTCCACTACATGTGCAGTTGGCTTTTTTTGGTAGATGACTCTTAGGGCTTGTTCGTCCATCGTTGGGGATTTTTTCTTGTTATTAAGGATTTAATTTAATTTCCCCCCTCCTAATGGATTAATTTCTTTGGGCCCTCATTACGTTATGTGAATTCCTAATGGCTATTTTTTTTCAGAAGGACTTTGAGACTTGGGTGTTCGGGGTGTTCCTTTTGGTCAGTTCTGGGTATTCGCTCGTTTTAGTCCTGTACATCCTTTGGTGATTTCCTGTAGGAGTTTGTTCCTCTACAGATTTGAATTTCAGGGAAAGAATCCTCGGCTGTGGTAGGTCAGGGTGACTCTTCTTCAGTTTCGGGCTTTCACTTTTGTGGTTAAAATCGTCGGGGGTTTATATTCCCTTATTATCCATATCTCCTGATCCTCGTGAGGGTGACTGCTGCCTTTCTGGGAGAGTCCCTTTTATGTTCTTTGGGTAAGTGTCCTCGGAGAAGACTTCCTTGAGGCTTCTTGGGGTACTGAAGAGTGCCTTTCTTTGGTTCGGGCTTAAGACTACTGTTGCACTTTATTTCTTCTTTAGGTACCCTACGTGGCTGGGGAGGTTCGTCAACCTTTTCCTTTGCAATTTCTCTCTCATTTTTTTAGCCGACCTACAGTTGTTGAGTCTCCTTCTTGGGGTCTCTGGAGTTTTCTTCCCTGATCTCCCTCTTGGACGATTACGCTCGTAGAAGGGATAGTCCTGGTCAGTTGATCCCCCCAGTCGTTGCTTCCTATTTAGTATCCTTTATTTGGATTTCTGTCTTTTGGACAGGGGGGATGAGTTCTAAATTCTGAGGTGGACTTTTGTCATGAGTACTGCTTCTTTGGAGGTCCAACTGTATTCTCCTTAAGAAAGC